CAGGAATGGTCCCACTAAGATGTGTGCATATGTGTCTCTGTCTGTGTGTGCGTGTGTGTGTGTGTGCGTGTGTGAGAGAGAGAGAGAGAGAGAGAGAGCGAGCAAGTAAGGCAGTGAGAAAAGATGGCAAGAGTTTTAAAACATCGTTAAGTTGCACAGTCAGACAAAAGAAAGCTGCAGCTTGACTGAGCTGCAGTGCTGTTGTCAGTTTGTGCAGAAAGACTTACTAGTAAATGTGTCTGTGGAAAAAAATATCATAAAATGAATGTATATATCATTTTGTGTTAAATTTTAACATCTTGCTTTTCTTCATATGAGCCAAAACACATTGGGCCAACTGTTGATGGTGAAGATATCTCCCGATTTATGCAAATTCTTCAAAGTTGAGATAGCAATGCCTGCATATTTCATGTGTAAGTTACCACTGTGGTGTTATAAGGTCATTTTGTAGGGTCTGAGCCTCACATGTTCTGTGCAGTGAAATAATACTTAACATAGTGTGTGTGCAGACTAGGGTCTCAGGGTGTAGAGGATTATAAAGGAGCCAATTGGTGGCATGGATAACAACAACAACAGGTAACATTTCAAAATTGAACATCATGGAAATGTTGCCTAAAAACATTCCTGGAAAAATACATCTCCATACTCTGACACAAGACAGCCCTACAGTAAATCCCAATGCCAACTGTACAAAATATATAATGATCTACATCTGTAACCACAGGTTGGCCCTTCAGTTTCTTTATTACATTACATTACTAGTACTGTTGCTGTGGTGGTCTGATGCATGTCCCTGTTACAGTCCTAGTGTGGGTTCTAGTTAAAAAAAAAACCCTGGCAACTTTATTCTTACTTTTTTTTTTTATCACAGATGCACTATTTTTAAACACATGACTGCCTCTGCCCTTCGTCAAACCTGTGTTGATTTCCCCATGGTGGCAATTACATCTTGAGTTCTTCCTATGGAAACACCCCATAGAAAGATCAACACAGAACAACCACAGAATGGTACTGTATACTGTAGCTGTATCAATGTAAAATGATACACAATCAAGATTATAATTTATTTTCAGGGCTTATGTACACTTTCTCTACTGCAAGACTGGCTTTGTTGAACTATTGCTGACCTTTCACTCTTGCACACAAACAAGCTGCCTGATCTGTATTTAACCACACCTGTATGCTTTCCCAAAATTGGAACTGTTCTCTCAAGATACATGTGGTTCAGCCAGCCTAATGGTGATTTATTAATTTAGAATATTTTAAAAAAGATAAAAAGTAGAATGATCCATAAATCAGATATGTGGTGTACTATACCTTAGCAACTTGTCTTTATTTTTCTCCACGTAAGTTGGAGGGACATTTGATACCACCACCTGCATGTCCAGCTGGTTTACAACTGACACCTAAACAACAGGAAAAAAAATGTAGATATAAGTCACACTGTATACAACTCATTTCTACATTTCAAGTGAGCGACAAAAAGCATGATCAGTTGTGAGTTACACTAAACCCCTGAGTCACATTTTCTTCTTTATAAAGGACATTCTAGGGGACTACAATTTCCTGTTTTTGTGGTTTTCACTTGTGCCTGTTCACGTTTCAAATCGATTTCCCTACTCGGCGACACAACCACTGAGTAAACAACTGGTAACTGGCAAGTCTATAGTCAGAAACATTAAGCTAGAGACACTATCAGCTACAGTGCCTTGCGAAAGTATTCGGCCCCCTTGAACTTTGCGACCTTTTGCCACATTTCAGGCTTCAAACATAAAGATATAAAAATGGAGGTGATATTCAGTTTGACTTTACTTTGGTGACTCTGCCTTGGCTATTCACACAGTCATCTATGGAGGAGCTCCAGGGTTTACATGTGGCCTTATGGATGTAGGAGAGTTCTTTTTCCTGTTCCCCCTCATAAATATTATTTTATTTTGACTGATATCTAAAAACTGTGCATAACTTTCACACACACTCCAAAGAAAATCCTGTTTTACAAGGGCCTTTGCTTGTGCCCCAGAATGTTCTCTGTGTACAGTAGTAAAAATATGATATTGTAATGTGCCTCTGTTTGACTGAATGCGATGACCAGTGCGACATCCAGCATATTACTGACCCACTGATTGCACGGAGTAATTGATCTATGCATTATTGCAGCAAGTGAAGCTGACAGCTTGACCTAACAGCATATGACAACACTGCATTGTTGTTTTTGCTCTAAGGAGTGTTCAGAGATTATGATCAGGACAGTTTTTCATTAGGGTGGATGGTGCTTTAAACTAAGACATTCTGGCCTAGTGACCTCTGTTGACTGTACGGTGTAACTGCAGTCTAAGCATCAGAATCTGAATCTGAATCAGCTTTATTGGCCAAGTATGTTAAACACAGAAGGACTCTGGCTCTCAATCTGCTTTGTTAAAGCAACAGGAAATAAAAAATAAAAATGTGTACATTCACAACAGGAAGTATGTGCAATCAAGTAGGAAAAAGTATAGGAGAAAACAAGACCATTTTAAAATATACAGCATGTATGTACATATATGCACACATTGTGTCAGAAGAGCTTTCAGATTGATATATGCACTGGTTATATTTAATCACAAGTGATTGCTGTGTCGTACAATTGTGGATTAACTGTTCAGAGTGACGGCCCAGAGGAAGAAACTGTCCTTGTTTCTGGCTGTCTTGGCATACAGTGACCTGTAGCGCCGTCCACAGGGGAGGAGTTCAAACTGTTCATGTCCAGGGGGTGAGGGGTCTGCAGAAATCTTCTCTGCCCTCCTCTTGATCTGTGAGGTGTATAGGTCCTCCATGAAGGGCAGGCTGGCACCAATGATTCTTTCTGATGAATGAGCATAGAACAGACTCGATGATTTCTCTGTAGAACTGTATCAGCAACTCCTGGGGCAGGTTGAACTTCCTGGCGCAGGAAGTTCATCCTCTGCTGTGCCTTCTTGGTGATGGTGCTGATGTTGGACGTCCATCTTAGAAGAAGCCCTTTATTGCAATGAATTATAATATTTACATTACAATTGTTGTGGTGCGGTGGGTAGAGCAGCAGTCTCCCAACCGGAAGGTTGAAGGTTCAATCTTGGTGCCTGTAGTCTACGTGTCCTTGGGTAAGATCCTGAACCCCCCCAAGTTGCCCATGATAGCGGCACGTATGCATGCAGCGGCCTGGGGCCCTCAGCGGCCCGGGGCCCCCAGCGGCCCGGGGGCCTCAGCGCGAAATTTTGTTATACCTGTCACAATGTTACAATGACAATAAAAAAAATAAAATTAACCTCTGTTTGTGAATGACTTGATAAGTGAACATCACATTGGTTTGTCTTACTGAAACCTGGTTACAGCAGAAGGGATATGTCAGTCTAAATGAATCCACCCCACCTAGTCACAGTAACTCTCATCCCTTGAAGCACAGGCCTAAGGTGGAGGTGTGGCAGCAACCTTTGACTCAACCCTAGACCTAAACATAGCCTCACTCTGAGTCTTTTACACCCAAAGTGGAAAACTCAAAAGCCAGTTCTATTTGTTATTGTATACCGTCCACCTGCCCCTTATTCAGCGTTTTTAACTGAATTCTCAGACTTTGTCTGATTTAGTGCTTAGTGCAGATAAAATAGTGGGTGACTAATATTCATGTAGATGCTGACAATGACAGCCTCAACAGTGCATTCAAATCATTATTAGACTCAATTGGCTTTTCACAAACTATAACCTCACTGTTTTAACCACACCCTTGATCTTGTTCTGACATATGGCATTGAAACTGAACTCTTAATAGTTTTTCCTCAAAACCCTCTTCTGTCTGACCATTTTCTAATAACTTCTGATGGATAATACACTATGTGGAAATAAATTCCACTACAGTAGATGTCTGTCAATGGTGTTATCAAATTTAAGGAAATAATTCCATCATTATTTACTTAAGTGCCATGTGCCAACACAATGGAGGGTGGCCACCTTAACTTTACTCCTACACAAGTCAATAATCTTGTCGATAGTGCTGCAACCTCCCTGCTTATGACAGTTGATATTGTTGCCCCTGTGAAGTAGAATGGGAGGCAGAGCCTTTAGCTATCAAGGAGCTTCTTTCCTGTGGAACCAGCTCCCAGTCTCAGTTGGGGAGGCGGACACCCTCTCTACCTTTAAGATTAGACTTAAGACGTTCCTTTTTGATAAAACTTATAGTTAGGGCTGGATCAGGTGACCCTGCGCCCTCCCTTAGTTATGCTGCTATAGGCCTAGGCTGCTGGGGGGCCCCATGGTGCTCTGAGTTCCTCTCCTCTCTCTCCATGCACTAATATGCCACCATTACATGTCATTAACTGTGTCTCCTCCCGTAGTGTGTCCTCTCTCTGTCCATGTACCTCTCTGCAGGTAGCCCTGGCTTGGGAGCTGTATGTTTCTGATGAGCAGTGACCAGCCACATCAACCTGCCCAGTGTTTGATTGTTTGTTGTTGTGTTTGCTGTGTCTTGTTGCCTTTCTTTCTTTTGTCTCTCCTCTATCCACTCACCCCAGCTGGTCGAGGCAGAAGGCCGCCCACCAAGAGCCAGGGTCTGTCGGAGGTTTCCTCCATTAAAGGGAGTTTTTCCTCCCTGCTGTCACCAAGTGCTTAATCAAGGGGGATTTGTTGGGTTTTTCCTCTATAATAGTAATGTCTAAACCTTACTTTTTAAAGTGTCCTGAGATGACTTTTGTTGTGATTTGGTGCTATACAAATAAAATTAAACTGAACATACATAAATGTGTCTGGAATTAAGTTACATCATCTCAACCTATTTTGATTAAAGGAAAGGGAGACTAGGATTAAACATGCCAACAATCCCAAAAATTACAATATACACACCACTATGTCCGCCTTGCTGCTGTGGCCTTGACCATAGTTGTCTGTAGCAACCACCTCAAACTTGAAATACGACCTCCTCATGTTGCGGTACATGATTGCTGTCTTCACCACGCCACTGTAAGGTTCAATGACAAAGCCATCTTTGCTGTCTTTAGTATCTTTACCAGCAGGAGGGGGAATGATAAGCCGGTACATCATCGCACTGTAGTTACCAGTGTCTTCGTCCAGAGCCTGGAGGATGAGGAAAATAAGACTCATTAGATGGTAAGATTAATCACCATAACACCAGCACAATATAATCACTATTATGAAATATCATCATTATTCATGCAAGCAATACTGTGATCAAGTCATGGTTATTATAATAAGCAATTCTATGATTTGTACTTATAACAAACAGTCAGGCCTCTCCCTCCTTATCATAGTTTTGAATCCAGGAGCTTGACCAGCTGATCAATATGGGACTGTATCATGTACTGTATGTTCATTACTTCAGAATTCATATCTTTTCATTTCCCAGCTTTTTTGGCTTATGGGGAACCTGCAGTGAGACTTTCACTACTTGTACTGTTTAGTGTAGTATTCTGAATCAGCAGCAGGGGGTAAAGTGGTGCTTCGAGCTGTTCATCTGTTCTGTCATTCTGGCTAACAATCAAGTCTCTCCTTCATCGCACATACATGCAAACCTCACACTGACATCCAGACACCGACTCCCAGACATAGATTTATTGCTGGGTCTTTACAGGAAGGACTTGGCGTATGGATTGCAGATTGAGCTCCCACAAGATACAGCACCCACCACATCAAAGGTTAATACTATGACAGGAAGAATCCATCAAAATGTATTTTTCTTAAAATAAAATTGAAGCAAGGAAGTCATTGAGAAATACAGGAAGAAAATAAGAAGGTATATATAGAAGGATGAGGGAATAAGAGGAGTGAGGAAAGAATAGATGTACAGATCTATTTGTGTGTGTGTGTATACACACTTGCAGGGTGAATGGCACAGCTAGGATAACTCTTTAGCAAGAGATCAATACCTGGATTAGTATCAAGCACCTGTTGAAAACAGCAACTGCATTAGCACGGGTGTTGAGTACAAAGCTGATATTTTCTGTAGGACCAAGGGTATAGTTAAGTCCCAAATCCAGGTACATATAAATTCTATGGTTTAGATTATGTGGCGTGTTCACACTGGAACAATTAGTATGCAACATAGAATTGGGACAACTGGGACCAACTATCTGTCCCATCTGCTTTGAGTGACAGTTGGATATGGACAGAAAAAAACTGAAAAGTCCTTTGGTATTCATTGTAATTGTAGCATAACATGAATATGATTTATCACTTTGATAAAGTTGGCAAGATCCTCAAACATTTCAAGGGCTTTTACAACCCCTCCTCTACTGCTTTAGACATTGTGAAAAATCAGCAATATGGAACCTGAAATGAAAACAACCAGTGATTCCCCTACACACCTGAGCCCCATTCAAAAGCATTTTCACATAATCACTTGTTTAGAAAAGCTACTGAACAAGACTGTGTGGAAAAAATGTAGCCGCATCATTAATTTCATTTAGACCACTGTGAGGTGCCAATGCAGAGCCTAGACCAAAGCGCTTCAAAAAACCGGTTCAGTTTTGCTGCAGTGTAACATCGTCTGCCAACTGTGAATGATAACCAAAACATGCCAGCCTGCACACCAGATAGATTATTTTACAACCTATCTTGTGTAGTTTTACTCTTTACCTTGCGAGCGTCATGATGGAGAATAAAATGCTTGTCATTGGGGTAACTTTCTGGAGTTGCACAATTCTTTCAGCTGCTGTGTGGCGCTTTGATAAATCTTCTATATATATAGAACACACCCACACCAGTGCAGCTCTTTGAATTCTTTTCATGCAGGGCTATTTTCAGTTTGAACTCCAACTAACAGGGAAGATTGGAACAAGTAATTGAAAGGGCAAGGAAAGGCTGTAGAAAGGAAGAAGGGTAACTTCCACATGTCTCTGGAAGACAAAATGTGACACAAATTGATTTAGAAGAAAAAACGGAATCTTTGGAGCTAACGAGTAGGTTTGTTAATGTGAGGCTCATCTGCAGTCTAATCAATATCTGTATTCTCACATCCTCTAAGGGACAAAAAGACAGATGAACTCCTCTGCATGTGCACTTGAACACGTGCTCTCTGAAGACACAATAGCTGTGCATGAGGCAATACACAAAGATAAATGTAGCCTAGTACACACACACAACTCATTAAGACAACGTGCATGCTTCAGACAGATGTGATGGGATTAGTTATACTTGAGTGAAACCACAGATTGAAAACACACATTTCCCAAACCTCTCCATCTTTTCTCTCTCTCTCTCTCTCTCTCTCTCTCTCTCTCTCTCTCTCTCTCTTGCCTTTTTGTCTGGATGTGAGCAAAAGTGCTTGCAGCACCCCTGTCTTTCTCTCTAGTCATCCACCCACTCCATCTATCCATCCACCCATGAATCATGCATGTCTTCCCTGCCTTCTTCTGTCCAGTCAGTTTCTCTCTCAGCAGGATGTCAGTTATGTCAGTTATATCTAACCATCAATCCTCTCTCTTCCTTCCAACCTCCAGATCTTTTGTTTCTCCCTGTAGTAATCAAGCCTACTAGCAGGGTATTAGTCCTTCCTGTCAGTCTGTTTAAGAGGTCAGATGACTGTAGAGCAGGTTACTCAAAACAAACTCTAGCCAAAATCAATATGCAGAACTGTGTTTGCAGCATAATCATTTGAGATACCACAAAAAATGCAAATTCTTTTTAAACTTGTAAAAGTGTGATTTTAAATACGACTCATACTCTCCCTTAATGCCCTCATCTTTCATGTCACTCTCACTACGATCTAATGAAGCAGGGATATCCAAGAATGTTCATCAAAACTGTAATGAAATATTAAAGAAAATACTTTTCTGCCAGAGACCATGCTCAAGTCTCATATGGCATCCACGCTCATTAGAACATATTGCTGCATCTCAAATAGGGCTCCCTGACCCATTTTGGCTCTGACAAATAGGCTGACAGGTATTTCAGTAATATGAGAGTCACTCGATGTGCTTACAGTGATATGAAATTCTTCTAAAGTCAAAAAAAAAAGTCGAGGGAGAGAAACAGAATATCCTCGGCGGTTTTTCTAGTTACTGGACTGTAGATTATGTCTCTTTAAAACAAACAATGCATATAAAAGTGCACACAATCCACACAAGCACTGTAAGCATCTTCACGCTGAGCTGAACTCAGTGTTGTAGGAAGCCGTCATAATTCTTTTGTGACAAGTCTTAATATTTTGAACCTTACACTAAAAACTGAAAAATGATCTTAAACAAGAACAAGTAACAGAATAAGACAAAAAAGAAAAAATGCAATTCCTACAACAATGCAACCTAAAAAGTTGGAATGCAAAATAACTGAACAATGGCATGTAGTTTTTATTCAAGAAGGAAGGATTAACTGCATTACATTGTCCAGTTGTCCTGTTGTTTTAGCCACACTGTATGAAGCTAGCAGGTTTGTACTGTATATGTTCGTGTGTGTAAACACGTCTGTCTGTATTTGTACCTGTACTTGCAAGACTGAGGTAAAGGTTTTGGCGTCTTCTGCAACCCCTCCAATATAAAGAGATCTGGTGAAAACTGGCGCATGGTCGTTCTCATCCTGGATGTCGATCACCACCTTAGCTGTGTTAGCTAGGACACACACAAACATAATTTACACACTTTGCTTTTGGTATTAAAAAGTAGAAACACAGTATTTGCTGGTAAACAGGCAATGTAGACCTGCTTGATGCACTGCAGAGGACTCCTTTTGCAGATGGCTAACTGTTTTTTTTATACTAAAGAAACCTCACCGTGTTTTAAACTAAAGATAGCAATGTGAAAAATGAAATAACTGATATAAAGCACCCATAATAAACAACAAGCGGTATCACAACTTCAGAGCTGTAGCTCCAGCAGTCTCAGGCCTGCACTTCACAACCTGCAGCACCGGCCCAACCTGTGTCACATACTGACAAGAAAAACAGCAGCACCAAATATAGACATCTACAAGCAGGAAAAGTCCTGTCTTTCCTGCCGGTGTTACAAGTATTACAGTTGCGTCAGCTCTTAGCTATCTTTGCTTGTAGGGGATAATATCCACACATCTAGTCTAGAGGTCTAAATTGGTATTGCTGTTGCTTTTCTTTTCTAGAGGTTTTGCAGGTTGACAAGTGTAAAACTGCTCTGACAATGATTGAACAGTCTCAGTAGTAAAACGTCTGCACCCTAGTTCCAGGTGCAACCTTGTTTCATGGGGTGCTCAGCAGGATTTTGAAAAAAAAAAGATGAGCAGAGAAACAGCAGGGACAAGGGGACTTAAACCCCCCCAAAAAACCAGTTTGAAATCTTATGCATTTCTCTACAACACAGTCATGATAAGTCACACAGTCAAAAACTGTGTGACTTATATGGGGGAAAAAAAACCCTGTGCCACTCCATCTTTCCAGTTGAGCCATGCCCAGAGAGAAAAGCACAGAGAAACCAAATAAAAACATTGCTCATGTTAAATAACAAAACTTCTAACTTTGTCAGAAAATATATACGGTACTAATATATACAGTAAGACCAAGTCCGCCATAGCAACATTATAACAAAACAGGTTTCATGGGTTTCAAAAAAGTTCACATATAGTATAAGATGATATAACAGAGCACAGAGAATGAAGGATTGTTAGCTTCACTTCCCCAGCTGATAGGTTTCACAACTTTGAAAATGAGCTGTGCACTGCTTAAAGTTTAGAAATGCTGCATTAGAGGTGACCCTACTCTGAGCCATCTAATCACATTTTTGAAATATATGCAACAAGAAACCTCAGTGGTCATGAATATTGAGAACACTGCAGTGAAAACATTATGGCTTATTCATATTAAAAGTCTTCAAAAGTATTGTCTGCTGAGATTCAAAATCAAGTTTTGCATCAGTGAATAATAATGTATTAATATGTTAGGTGTTACTATAATTAAAAACACTACATGCAGTGTACAGTGTGAGGCAAAGCACTGTACCAGTGAGCATGTGCCACTCATATTCACTTGGTGCACATCGCCAACATTAGTATTTATCTGGCCAAAAACATGGAAACAAACAACAGCAATAGACCAAAGGGGTGAATCTTGTGAGAAAGAAACAGCTCAAGTCTGATCAAAACAAACAAACAAACAAAAAAGCATAAAAAACATTGGCATGTGAAAAGAAATATGCAAAACAAAAACCTGCTTGTCTACAACAGCCATCCTATTTACAATTCCAACCTTAGAAAACGGAATTAACACATTGCTAGAATCCTATTGATCTGCTGCCTGATTAAAATGCATACCAAAAAGAATTGAAGGGGATTTGCTAATGACTACAATGATTTGTAGTTACAATCTGCATAGAATTCAAATAGTTGAATGAAATAAGAACAGCATGTGGTAAACATGATAATTAAAGAAGAAAGCAGAGACGTGGGATGCTTAGCATCAATTAAGAAAAATACAGACAGAGAAAGAAAGACTAGCAGAGAGAGACAGACAGGAAAAATGAAAGCGGGGAAAAGTTAGAAACTAATTAGTCATTTTTACTTCAGTCCAAGTCTCAATTAAAATCACAAAAACTTCTTTTGGTCAGTCTTTGCTCCCACATGCAACTGAAGGAAAGCCATTCTGTTTTTGAATGGGTTTAAATGTGGATGGAAGTGAAAGAAAAAAAAAAGATAAAACAAATGCTTAGATTAAATCATAGAAGATTTGACCTGCACAGATAAATATGTACCGATGCCTGTGACAGAGCAGTGGTGGAAGTCACCATTTACTGAAGTACTGTGCTTAAGTACAGGTTTTAAGTAGTTGAGTATTTTCCTTTTACCTCCACTTCACTACATTTCAGAGTAAAATATTTTTTACTCCGCTACATTTGTCTGACGGCTAAAGTTACAAAAGAAATTTCAGATCAAAATCTTGCATAAAAAAGATGTAATAAGCTTATAAAAAATTAAATCAGTTGCTCTGATCCTTAAAATCAGAACATCGGTGAAATTTGTGGTGATGTAATCTGATGTTAGTCCTGTAACCTCAGCATAGGAGACACAATCACGCACTTACTCTTAGAGGGAGCTCTGAGGTTCGAGGACACCACTCTAATGGAGTCTGCTTCAACCTTCAGAACGTAGCTGGAATTGGTTTCGTAGTCCAGAGGCTTGGCTGTGGAAATCACTCCTGTGGTTTCATTCAATGCAAACATACCTGGAGAGAACGAGAGAGAGAGAGAGACAGCAGGAGTGGGGAAGAAAGGGTGAATGAAAATGAGAGCAAAAGATAAGGGAGTACGGTCAAAGGAGAAGGAAGCATAGAGTTTACTTTTAGCCACAACTTATACAAATCTGAAATCAAGTCTGGTTTTTCCCTGGCTAATCATGGCGATTGATTGATATAGTTCAGGTTAGGGTTTACATACAACAGTATGCCCTGTCCATAACATAATAAACTCACCAACTACTTTATCAGTACTCACATCCAGGCAGTGTCATGAGCCAAGTCCACAACTGAGATGTCCTGTGTATAAGCACCTCTGAGTATACTCACCTCCCTCGTCGCCTTGAATGATAGAGTACACGATGGTTTGATTGACAGCAGCTGCTAGGATGACTCCCACCAGGGTCCCAACAGCAGCATCTTCACTCACTGGTGGAAACCTGGGAATGGACCAGTCAATCAATATCAACTGATACAATTAAATATGTATAAGTAGATCTTGGGCCCACTTCCTCTGGAGGGCCAGCTGCCATTTGGCAACAACTGTGAGTTAAATCTGTCAAGCATGTCCAAAATGTTTAACTCCTCCATGTTGGCAACTTCCTCTACTTTGACTTTACCCCAAAAGAAACAAACATAAGCAGTGCTCGCCCTCAAAGAGCTACTTAGAGGGTATTGCAGATGCAGATACTGTAGGAACCTGAAAAGTTGTTGTTGTTGTTCAAAGATTAATTAGGTTGGCTGCTGAACAACCTTTTTCCCACTTTATCTTTGTCACAGCATTCATGTTTGCTGTCTTTTGCATTTAAATGTCCAACAACACAGCTCATCAATACATTGCTGTCAGCTGTAGGACGCCGTGTGTCAGTCTGACATCAAAACAAAGCAGGCTGTGCTCACACCACATGCTAATACGTAAAAACAAAGGCAGTGAGTAGTTCACCCAAGTGTGTCATGGTCCTGCAAGTTAAATAAGTTTTAAAAAGCCATGAATATGGAGTCTACTTTGGGGAAAATAAAAGAGTAATCCATTAAGGGAATAAGCAAATAGTAAAAAAATAAAATAAAATAAAAAAAATAATCAATTTCCTTAACCCCAAAAAGCATTTGAAAAAAATATTTATTTGTATTAATTAAAGTAGAGAAAAGCAGAAAATCCTGATATTTGAGAAGTTTGAGCCAAAGAATATCTGACATCTGGTTGATTTGAAAAATAAAAGAATATTTGATTATAAAAATAGCTGATTCATTTTCTGTTTATGTAGTAATACATGCAAAGCCCCTGGCACGGCCAAGGCATCTGACTGGCCCTATTAGCCGCCTCGGCCAAGCAGTGAAATTGAACCATGAACAGTTTTCAAAGAGAACCCAGGCATCATCTTGTTTTTGTCCACCTGCCTCTCATTGCATATGGCAGGCGGCCTTCCTCGCTTACAACGCTGACAGATTTTCTTAGAATCTGGCAACTCTTAAATTTCCAACAGATTTCACTCCATTAAATAAACCCAGTCCAGTCATTAGGCCAGTCATCACAGCTGGCTAAACGTTATAACATGGACTACCAACTGGCTAAGCTATCGAGTAATCACAACATGATAAATGGGACTGTTGGGAAGCAAGAGGGAGGTGAGTGTGTTTGTGTAGATGTTCACTTTCGTCCCGATCAATTGCTTCTCTAACCACTTGCTCTGTCCAAACACTTCCAAGCAAATACATAATAAACCTGATGATTATCAAAAGAATATACATTTAAATAAAAAAAGGGGTTTGGCGATAGGCGCCTGCAGCAGCTGAAATACTGGTTTAAAAAAAGAAACAAAAAAACATGAACATGTTGATTTGTCAAAGCAGGAGATTCACAGGTGTTACTATCATTAACCATCTGTTCTATTGAAGTGTTCCAGCACAGTAAGCTAACATGCAATATACCGAGTCTCTGTAACACAAGTAGCTGAATAGCTATAATCAATTTTTATATTCTCATATGCTTTTCTTACAGTGACAGGTCAAAGTGCATTTTGTCTACTGTACCATCTAATCCTACCCAAACTGGGAGCCAAGCTAAGACTCTGGGCTTTAAAGTGGTGTCCTTTATTTTATTTCAAATTAAATATGCTGAAGCACAGAGCCTGAAAAACAAAATGTGCAAATGTCTGGGTGTTGCTGTTGACTCCTCTTTTGCCTTTATGATAGTCTACAGTAAAGAGTTAATTGGAAATGAGGGGAACAACAATGGTCCCTGGCAGAATTTGATTGTGGAGCTGAGTATCTTAAACCCCCAGGATATCAGCGTGCTCCTGAAATATTGTATTTTCTTTTGGAATCTGTATTGAGTCCAACAGTAGGTTAGATCAGCAGGAGAAGCTTTATAAAACCAGCCAACATGTAAATGTTTCCTCAGGCATCAGCACTGTTCACTCAGAACAGAAAATTAAAAACACTCATAGTCCATCCATAAATATGGACTAAATTTGTGGCAGTGCAATAACTTATAAACATGAAATAATCCCCTGCTCTTATTATGCTCTTTCTTCCTCTGTTAGATCTCTTTTTTCCCCTCTTTCTCTCCAATCCTCCTACTTCTTCCACACTAAAATCTCAATTTAATACTTACACTCACTCCTTTCATACCTATTTAAATTTCTCCTTCTGCATCTGTATCTCCTCTTCTCACAGTCTTTCCTTCGGCTGCTGCTGCTTCCTCAGCTGCAATTGTTATCCATTCCTCCATCCTTCCCTCCCCACAATGAGCACTTGACACGGGTGAAGGAGCACACACACACCTACACACACGAAAGCTGATACTCCAGAGAACTCGACTGGATAGGTCAAAATGCATTTACAGATCTACAGATGCACACATGACTTTGGGCATGCAACCCCCCCCCGTGCTCTGTAATCATTGTTGTCCTAACTACAGCAGGCTGGGCCAATGCTGATAACAAGAGAAAAACATACATATACACACAAAGCTATACTGCTATACTTGTGAGGACATTGTACTGACATTCATTAGTTTCCTGGAGGCTTACTCTAACTGTAATGTTGTCATAATTCTGTCATTAACTCTAAAACCAGATTTTGACCCTAAAATTAAAGACTGCAGTGTGTTTGTTTTTGAGATGGTGTGAAAAGATCTTTGTTCCTGCAAAGTGATAAGATAACACACAAACACACATACACCAGGAGCACTGATTCAGAACAGCTACAGGACATAAACCTTAACAAAGCTGTGAGAGTGTTCAGAGTGAACACTGTGAAGGGCTAGCCAGAATACTGAGGATAATGATAGATGTTGGCAATCACATGGGCCTCAGTCTTACAGCCAGTGTCATTGGTTCATCTCACTCATGGTGGTTTTTGGTTTTTTAGCCTCCTTCAGCTCCTGTTTCTTTGACACATTGTCTTCTCCTAGTGTCATTTTTCTGTTTGTCCCTCCTGCAATGCTCCTTTTCAATTCTCTCTTTCTACCCCACAGTTCTGGTTCTGGTTCTGTCATTTCTTTTAATCACTCTCCTTTCCCTGTGTGTCTTTGTCGACACTAAACTATCATTTCTGGTGTGTCAAACAGTGCTTTAGTTATTTCGGACTGTGGCAATGGTTCCTCCCGAAAGTGTTTGTCTTCACACGACAACCATACCTGATGAACAGCAAATTGTAAATTGATCAAATGATGTACACTGATGGCTAACAAATGCACATAGTGTCTGAGAAAAAGGAAAACGGCTCACAGCAAAATATAAAATAGCTACAGTGGTCTGCAACACAAAACGCACTAGTCTCACAATAGCAGCTCCAAAATTGGACCCATCCATCCATCCATCCATCCATCACTTTACCAATGTTTTTAACTTTGTTGTGGGGTAGCTAGACTGCATGGGCACTATTTTAATTGTCAAAATTAAAATTAATCGCTTGTGTAAATTTTATGTATTTGCATAATTTTACTATTCACAAACAATAATTAATACATGGAAATGTGTTTTAAAGATAGTGATGCCCACAGTGAAACAAGCTTACTGAATACATGGTCAGGAACCACTTGCCCTGCCTTCACGGACCACCAGGGGTCCGCAGACCACGGGCTGAAAACCCCTATCCTACAGTGACAGCACACACGCTCAGTCACACCACACACTCACATATACAGAGGTGTGCAGTAAAATTATAATTGAAACTTAATTAAAAATGTCAGGAAACACCCTCAGAAATGCCATGACCAAGTTTAACAGCTAAATTATTGTCTTTGCTGGTAATGTGAATTTATAATAACCTGGGGAGGTTGACTTTTATTGTTCATGTCCTGGGATATTGTTCTTGTGTCTGCACTTCTGAAGTGATGCAGTGATTTAAACAATTCCTCTTCATCAACCTAGTGCTTTAGTTATTTCAGACTGTGGCAATGGTTCCTCCCAAAAGTGTTTGTCTTCACAAGACAACCATACTGGATGAACAGCAAATTGTAAATTGATCAAATGATGTACACTGATGGCTAACAAATGCACATAGTGTCTGAGAAAAAGGAAAACGGCTCACAGCAAAATATAAAATAGCTACAGTGGTCTGCAACACAAAACGCACTAGTCTCACAATAGCAGCTCCAAAATTGGACCCATCCATCCATCACTTTACCAATGTTTTTAACTTTGTTGTGGGGTAGCTAGACTGCATGGGCACTATTTTAATTGTCAAAATTAAAATTAATCGCTTGTGTAAATTTTATGTATTTGCATAATTTTACTATTCACAAACAATAATTAATACATGGAAATGTGTTTTAAAGATAGTGATGCCCACAGTGAAACAAGCTTACTGAATACATGGTCAGGAACCACTTGCCCTGCCTTCACGGACCACCAGGGGTCCGCAGACCACGGGCTGAAAACCCCTATCCTACAGTGACAGCACACACGCTCAGTCACACCACACACTCACATATACAGAGGTGTGCAGTAAAATTATAATTGAAACTTAATTAAAAATGTCAGGAAACACCCTCAGAAATGCCATGACCAAGTTTAACAGCTAAATTATTGTCTTTGCTGGTAATGTGAATTTATAATAACCTGGGGAGGTTGACTTTTATTGTTCATGTCCTGGGATATTGTTCTTGTGTCTGCACTTCTGAAGTGATGCAGTGATTTAAACAATTCCTCTTCATCAACCTTTGTGTGCTGGTAATGATTTTAGTTATTATCATTAATCAAAACCAAGTGTATGATTACCCTCTCTTTGTCTCTTGAAACCATCCCAGTCTCCTGCTCTCCATTCATTATCCATTGTCTCCTCTACTAATGAACTACAAAGTTCCAAGAATCAGTAATATGTCAAAACACTTTCGTCTCAAAGCTTTACTAACCTGTCCTTGTAATAGTGGTGATACACCTGACTAACACATTAAAGCTACGACCATGACACCTTTATTTATAAAATCTGTTTC